CATACAGCAACTAGAAGGATGTGCAACTATGACATACAGCTATCTACTGGGGCTTTGGGGGAAAAAAAAGGAGGAGGATTGGCAATAGATGTTAGTTCAGAGCCAGTCTTCCTCAGCAAAAAGAGGAGGATGAGCATGGATGTTAGCTCATGGCTGACCTTCCTCACCAAAAAAAAAAAACAAAACAAAACACATTCTAAAAAAAAAAAACTTTATGGATTTAATTGTAATAAAAGAATATTAACTCCCAAGTCTCTTTCTGTAAATATCTCTGATGATCCTTACCAAGCCTGGGCTGAAAAGGCTTGTTCCAACAGAAAACACCTTGATAAGAATAAGTAGGAATGAGGAAGAGTAGTTTTAACACAAATTATACACCCAAGTTGTTTGGGACCTCTCATCTGTTCTGCATAAATGTTTTAGTCTTATATCCACCCAAGTATTTAGAGAAGGGGCCCCAAACTTAAATGCCAGCCAGCAGCCAGACTGTTGATAAATGAATGATGCAGGCTGGTTATAAGGTAAAAGGGCGGTGATGGCAACCTGGAGACTGTTTCTCAACAGTCCAAAGGGGCCAGCAAACTGCTGCAAGGCAGGAACATGCTGCCAGATCTTCCAATGTCACAAGATAATCCAGATATTTACATATAAAACTCCACTTTTAAACGCTGGCGATTAATTAAAATATCAAAACACAGGGCAGGCCAAAATGCCTGTCAGGCCACTAGTATGTGAACTCAGGAGAGACTTTCAGTGGGTGTTAGCTATCCCACAAACCTGAGGGTTTGTGCCCTCAGGATCCCAGGGTCTCTAACAGCCTGACTTCTCAGGGGACTAATTCTGTTAGGCAGTATTGGGTCAGCCCTTGAATCGCACAAGCCTAAGGTTTAAAAATAAAGCAGAGCAAATATGAGATGATTTGGGTTTTGGACACCACGTCTTCTAGACCGACGCCTCCCCCTCCACCCCAGCGCCAATGGAATATCGGTTATGAATACGTGTTTATGTGGCGGACACTGTACATGTATTAACTGGTAAGGAAAGAAGACAGGGTAAAAAGTGTAAGTTCCAACGGTGTTTCTGACCACGTTATTTTTCCCTCCAAGAGGATAGGAGACAATCTTAAAGGGGCAGGCACAGTCCTCCTTTTCTCCTTACCTGTCTTTGCTAACACCGCCCTGGGAAGCTAAGCTCAGGGCACGTCTGTCACTTGCCCTTGAGCCTCTTTTCTCGCATTCTTTACAACCGAACGTGGGTTCCGCTTCCAAGCCGAAAGCTGCCGCCGAGCAGCAACACCGGGTCCCCAGCCCTCCCGCTCCCCCCTGCGCCCTTCGTCCCAGCAGCGCCTGCTCTCCCTTTTCCTGCGCTTTCTTAAAGGGGCAGGAAGTGCGAAACCACAGCATGCCCTGACCTCACTTCGGAAATAAGAGAACTTCAAATTCTGATTTTCAAAAAATCCATTCTGAAACTGTGGAGCATCTGCTTTGTGCCAAACACAGTCCTAGGCACTGTGCACAGATTGATGAGCAAAATAGACACAGTATAAGCCCTTATGATGCTTACAGTCAACCAAGATTAAATTGTAATCCCTTTTATAATAATTTCCATAAACGTAAAATCTAAATCTATTTGCAATCTATATCACTCAAGTTCTGGACCTATATGTCCATCTTCCAACCCCTCACTCAACACATTTCAAATTAACTGACCATCTCACCTGACAACAATTAAAACCTGCTCTAGAGTGCCAAAGGGAAAAAAAAAATTGACCCAAGAAATAGGCAAAGCACGTTTCTGCATCTTAGTCTGCAGTTTGAGAAATGAACTGGCAGCTGCCGTTCAAAATTAGAGCTTGTTGCTTCGGTTCTGTGCTTCTGTTCTCAGTTTAAGACTTTCCCATTTTCCCTGTAAAATGGAACCTCTAGGCACTACTACAGGGGAATGAAACTGTTATGCCAATTATCAGCCCCAGATGCATCCTTATCATTTGCTTCTTAGGTGAATGGCATTTGAATTGATAGGCACTTCAAATAGGATTGATTGGCATTTCAGTGTATTCTGCCCTAGATTTCCTCTGAGAACTAAAATAGGCGTTTTTATGACTGTGAATCAAACCGTATTCATTAACCTACTAGCTGCTTTTTAAAAAATTAGCTGCCGATGTAAACCTTTCTCAACTATAACTTCTTGTTTCCATACACTCTTCGATTCTCTTACTAGCAATAAACCTTAATACATGTTCAAGATCAATTTGTCCAAGAATTGTTTTTAACCAGCTTCTGTGTTCTATCTCTGTGAATAGCAAGAACATCCCAATCACTGCCCAAGAAACCAGGGAATGGAGGCAAGCCTAACATTTCTACGAAAGAGAGTTTCCAGTAAAAATCTTGGTGCTCATCATGGAAGATGCATTTAATAATATGAAGACACCTTATCCAAAAGTTGGAACTAGGCTAAAAGGAATGCTGCATGTCCTGCCCACCCCTTAATAGTTTTTTGATTGATCCATTTCTTTCTATCCCTCCTGCCATTGCCTTAGTTCAGCGTTATGATCACTTGCCTGAATTCCTGCAACAGGTCTCTCTGCAATCCTGCTTCCTCTATCCTCTATCTCATTCTCTATACTACAGCTTAAATGGATTTTCTGAAACTTACTTTCTACAGTCTAGAAAAGGCGTTACATTCCCATAAGATAAGCCAGATAACCACGAAAAACAGACATGGATTTTCTTTTCTGTTGTTTGGGGTTGATCTGTTGTTGTTTTTAACTGAAAGAAAGAACTGTCTTGCTTTTATCAAATTTGACCCAAATGCAACAAAGCAGACTCTTCAATCGTCTGATAATTGAGCTATCGTCTTACCTTGTGATTTTTGCCTTTAAATATCTGCCTACATTTTTGGTCAGAGAGCCAGTTCTCTAATAACTAGACTCACTTGCAAGTGCAATTATTTTTATTCCGTACTCAAATTTGTCTTAAGGGTTTTTTTGAACAAGCTATTCAGTTATACTTATTAGCTATATGACCTCAAGTACATTATTAAACTTTCCTAATGAAGGGGATCAGGATATGCCACCCCAAAATATGCCACTGTGGCATAAGAATTATTTTGAGCTGAACGGATTTGAATTCCTGAAATCCCTTATCTGCCTAAAGCAGAGCCTCCCAAAAGAACTCAGTTGTCATAAACCTCCTCCCCGGGAGCAAATCTAATCTTCTCGGACTTGAGAAGTAGACACCACACCCAAACAGACATTGTCCCAAGACTATCATATCTCCTTTCTATTCTCCTAAAGGACCATTTATCTTTCCAAAAAGTCATTCCCATAAGTGCTCTTTCTCCCCTTCCCCATCACCTACTAAATTAGGTGTACAAGCACTAAATTCTAACCACCCCCTTTGAGTTACTCATTACTGAATTCTCCTGTGTGTATGTGTTGTGCGTGTAAATTCTGCTTTTTCTCCTGTTAGTCTAGCTTTTGTCAGTTTAATTTGCAGGTCCCAGACACTGAACATAAGAGGGTAGAGGAAAGTTTTTGCTCCCCTTCACTAAGAATCAGTTTTCTCATCTGTTAAATAGCAATGATAATAATAACAACATATTGGGAGGATTTAATGAGATAAAAGTAAAGTGCTTAGCACAGTTCCTGGCATATAGTAAATGCTTGATAAATGATTAAAGCACTAAAACTGTGATTATCACTATTGGAAATACAGAGATAGTGTTGGTAAGGCTTAAGAGTGGAGACTGAAGATCAGGTTTTCAGCTAAGTATGAGAGGAACAGATTTGAGTCTTAGAAAAATGTTTTAAGGGGCAGGCCCAGTGGCATAGTGGTTAAGTTTGTGTGCTTCACTTTGGCGGCCCAGGGTTCACAGGTTTGGATCCCAGGTGAGGACCTATGCACCGCTTACCAAGCCATGCTGTGGCACGTGTCCCACATATAAAGTAGAGGAAGATGGGCACAGATGTTAGCCCAGGGCCAATCTTCCTCAGCAAAAAGAGGAGGATTGGCAATAGGGGTTAGCTCAGGGCTAATCTTCCTCACAAAAAAAAAAAAACAAGAAAGAAAAATGTTTTAAGCTGCAGGTAGCAAGTAGAGGCAGGACTGAAGACAACACCACCCGTTGGAGGCTATTGTGGTAATCCAAGTGAGCAATAATAAGGGCAGAACGAAGGCAACTGCAGCAGGGACGGAAAGAATTGGACACGTCTGAACATGATCCAGGAAAAGCTCTTAGCAGGACTTGGAGCCTAATTAAATATGCTCCTCATCCTTCAGAACATAGCTCAGGGTCAAGGTCCTCTGAAAAGCTCTCCCCAACACACACGCTGATCTGGACATTCTCTTAGCTTCCTATGGGTGTAGCCAAGAATATCCTGCAGACCTCTCATTGCCTGGCTCCTCTACTGGACTTCGAGGCAGACCATCTCATCCCCCTTTTATCTTCTGGCACAGTTAGACAATAAACTCTGTTAAATGAAAGAAAAAGCAAGTAAATGAGTAACAAATATTACATATCAGTGCCTCATTTTTTAATTTTATTTTTAACAGCTTTATTGAGGTATAGTTTACATATAATAAACTTCACATACTTAAAGTGCACACTTTGATGTTTTGATATGTGTATACTCATGAAACCATCTTGACCAAAGTCAAGACAGTGAACATGATATCGAGCAATGGGTTCACTCTGCTTGCTGAGGTGTGAGCCAATTAATTACAACAAGTTGGGGATCAAGAAAGGCAGTTTTAATTTGATTAGCCAGCATAATCGGAAGACAGGTGACTAATGTCTCAAAAAACCCATTTTCAAGAATTACAGAATCTTGAGGTAGTAGTATAGGGAAAATGGGCAGTAAGGAGTGGGTTTAGAAATGTTGGCTTTCAGGCATGACGGACTCCAGGGTCTTTCATTGTTCTTTTCTTCTGTCAGTGATGATGAATATCTTGTAGATGTGTTTCCCACCTGTGGTCAGCCTGTTCCTGAAGAGAAACTCATAGAACAAAGTTTTAATTTATCAAGATATAGGGGAGTACATGCGTAAATGGAGGCCATAAATCAGGAGAGCATGTGAATTATTTTAGAATATGTGCAGAGCATTGAGTAGTCACACAGAGGTGGGGCTGGGGTCATTTAGCATAACAAGATGGCCTCACTATGTTCACTTACAGACATACTCAGAGTTATACCATGTTATCCCTCCCTCCTGTCCTTCCACACATTCCCCATCGCCAGGCAGCCACTGATCTGCTTTCTGTCACTATAGATTTGTTTGCATTTCCTAGATTTTTATATAAATACAGTAATACAGAATGTACTCTTTTTTGTCTTTTCTTTCAGTCAACATGATTATTTTGAGATTTATCCATGTTGTTTCATGAATCAATAGTTCACTCCTTTTTATTCCTAAGTAATGGTCCATTATATGTATATACAAAGTTTGTTTATCCATTTACCTATTGATGGACATTTGGGTTTCTTTTTTTTTTCTATTACAAAAAAAGCTGTTATGAACATTTGTACACAAGTCTTTGCATGGACATATGCTTTCTTTTCCATTGGGTAAATACTTAGGAACGGAATGGCTAGATTATATGGTGGTGTGATTAACTGTGAACTTCTTCAAAAATGGCTGTGTCATTTTACCTTCTCATTTTACCATCAGTGTATGAGAATTCCAGTTCCTCCACATCCTCATCAACACTTGTTATTGTCTTTTTGATAATAGCCAACCTAGTAGGTGTGAAGTGGTTTCTCATCATGGTTTTAATTCACATTTTGTTATCTGGCACGATAAGAAAAAAATAACTTCTCTTGCCATTTGGGGGGAATATTATTTATTGACATAACATATAATTTGTAAATGTTTATAAATATAAATTCTAAATAAATTTGTAAATATATTTCTAATAAAATATTGCCATTTCTGTTTAGTTTTAAAATCAGCCTCGAGAGGCAAACAGATAAATTGTACCCAAGCAAGTGTGATTTGCCTCTGCAACCCTAGAATGTGTTTCTCCCAAGACTTTTGAAGGAAGTTTGAAGTTTTGGGTTCTCTAAAGCTTCCGCTTCCTTCTAGCTTCTCTCTCCACCAAACTGCCCTTGCAACCAATCTACAGCGCCATGTCTGTGTGAATTCGGAGCTTTCCTCTTTTCGGTTCCCTATCTTTGGTTTGCAGTTGCTGCTCCTTCAGTTAGTCGCTAGGCAAACTTTTAAACACAGGTCACTAAGTCACACCTAAAAATCTAGACGGCTGGCCCTTTAAGACCAGTCATCTCTACAAGGGTTTGAGCTCTCACCGAGAAGTGAAATCTTGAACTAACTAAAGTGACAGTGCCATCTAGGGATGATTTAGCTTAATATCGGCCAAGTGTGTCTGAGCTAACATGGTACAAACAAAAAATAAAAAACTAAAACTGAAACTGTGAAATAGACTTTGTTATATATACAGAGCAGAGATTCTCACCCACAATGTTATCACATACTGGCATGCTTGTCTAGTTGTCAGATATGGAGGAAATACTCATCATTGATAATAGTTAAGGCCCAAAGTTTGAGAAACATTTGGTACCATCCATGACACATTCTCTGTCTCTCCGTCTCTGTCTCTGTCTCTGTCTCTCTCTCACACATACACACACACACACACTCCACAACTAATCCACCAGCAAATCCTGCGGGCTCCACCTTCAAAATACATGCAGAATCTGACCACTGCTCACCACCCGCACTGCTTCCCTCTAGTACAAGCCGCCATCACCTCTAGCCTGGGCTATTGTAATAATCTCCTAAGTAACCTCTCGATTTCCACCCTTGCTCCCTGTGGTCTGTTCTCAACAAAAAAGCCAGAGGGATCCTTTTAAAAGGAAGTCAGGTCACATCATCCTCCACTGCAAACCCTCCGATAGCATCCCGTTGCCTTTCCCTTCACAGCAAGCCTGGCCTCTTCTCTGACTTCCACTCCTGCTGCTTTCCCCCTTTCAACAACTTTTCAAACACACTGGGCTGACCATCTCGCTGTTTCCTACTTCAGGGACTTTACAGTTGCTGTATCGTCAGCTTGGAACGGCCTTCACTCAGACGGGTGCGCAACTAACCCCTCATCTCTTTTAATTTTCTCAGGTGCTTTTTCTGCATCAGTTGAGACGGCCATGTGGTTTTTCCCCTTCCTTCTGTTAACGTGGTGTACTACACGGATCAGTTTTCATATATTGAATCATCCTTGCCTTCCAGGGTAAATCCCACCTTGTCACAGTGTATAATCCTTTTCATATGCTGCTGAACTCGGTTTTCTAGTATTTTGTGGAGGATTTTTACCCCTCCTCGCCGTTAAGTCTTTGCTCAAACGCTACCAACTCTGTGAGGTCTGACCACCCTATTTAAATTTTAAAAATTTAAATTTAAAATTGCAAACCTTCCTTTCCCCGCTTTGCTTTTCCCCATAGACATTCATCACTTATTTTGCCTGTTGAACCCTCCTGAGGACAGGGACTTGCCATGAGGACGGATTTCCTTCCTTTTTTTTTTCTAATTGAGGTCTAATTCCCGTACACTGAAATGTATAAATCTTAAGTGAACAGTCTGATGAGAGTTTTGATAAATGTTTGCACACATGTAACCCACACCTATAGATAGATACAGAACATTCCCAATGCCCGGAAAGTTCCCACCGGCCCCTTCTCAGTCAATCTCACACATCTACCCACCCAACTCTAGGCAACCACTGTTTTGACATCTATCCTTATAGGTTAGTTTTACCTGTTCTGGAATCTATATAAATGGAATTATACAGTATATTCTCTTTTGTATCTGGCTTCTTTTGCTCAACATAATGCTTTTGAGATTCAGCCATGTTGTTGCCTATAATGATACTTCGTTCCTTTTCGTTGTTCAGTAGCATTCCATTGTATGCACATGCTTCGGTTTGTTTATCTCTTTTTCTGTTTATGGACATTTGTGTTGTTTCCAGTTTGAGGCCATTATAAAGAAAGCTACAAAGCTGCTATGAACATTCTTGTAGAACTCTTCATGTGGACATATGTTTTCATTTCTCTTGGGTAAACTCCTAGGAGACGAATCGCTAGACTACAGGTGTATGTTTAACTTTGTAAGAAACCACCAAACAGTTTTCCAAAATGGTTATACCATTTTAACATTCCACCAGCTGTGTGCAAGAGCTCCACGTCACGCACTGCAGTGTCAGTCATTTCAGTGTTAGCTGTACTAGTGTTGTGGGGTGGTATCGCATTGGGGTTTTTAATTTGCATTTCCCTATGACTCATTTCCACATGCTTATTGAAGGCTGGGATTTTGTCCACTTTATTTGTTGCTTTATTTCCTGCACATAAGAACAAGGTGGAGCTCATACTAGCAGATCAACAAATATTTGTTGAATGAATTAATGATTTACTCTAAGAAATAAACAAATTAGAGTGGATTCAAGGTTATTATCCCTTGATTATAACCCAGAAAATACTCTCTCTGACTTGGGTTTTGAGATCTTTCTTGAATGGGAGAGAAAGGACATCCTGCCTAGTTGACTGGGAATGATATTCAACTCACAGCCCTTTTTTTTCCATTCTGAACCAATATCACACAGATAGTCATGGTAATTACAACTTACCGTGATGCTTTACTTCCCTAAAAACTTGTTTACAATTTTTAAATTTATTTTATGCCCACAGGGCTGTGTGGTACTGTCAAACATCATAAGGCTTTTATAGCTTGGGGAGAAAAAAAATACGAGAACTTTTAATAAAATGTATGTAACTGTTTGGAAATTATCCTTGGGGTTTTATTTTCTCCATGAGCACTTATTTGATATGCTCTAAATTCTTAAAATGTAATGACTGACATATGCACAAGCTTTTTTTTTTTTTTTAATTTTTTTATAAGTTTTATTTTATTTTATTTTACTTTTTGGTGAGGAAGATCAGCCCTGAGCTAACATCCATGCCAATCCTCCTCTTTTTGCTGAGGAAGACTGGCCCTGGGCTAACGTCTGTGCCTATCTTCCTTCACTTTATATGGGACACGGCCACAGCATGGCCTGACAAGCGGTGCATCCGTGCGCGCCTGGGCTTCTGAACCCGGGCTGCCAGCAGCGGAGCGCGAGCGCTTAACCAATACGCCAGGGGGCCGGCCCCTGCACAAGCTTTCACATAAACCATTAACTTATGTAACAAAGAAAAATTAAGCTAGGGATAGAGTTGTTAACTATAAGGATCTCTGTAGTTAGAATTTCTCTCTAATGGTTATAGGGAAAAATTTATGCTCCAGTAGAAAACTATACATTGTTTAACATAATGACCCTCTGGGTCATCTGATTCTGATTCTCTGGGAACTATTTCACAATGTTGTAAATTGTAGATAGCCGACAGCAATCCTAAAGAAATCCTGACTATAGACGTGCAAATTCTGTCCTGTCCAATTGCCTTCTCTCCTGCTCTGTAGAGGAAGAAGCCAGTTTTGCCTCCATTTGCAGATTCAATATTCCTGGATCTGTAAATGCATCCATTGGAGTCTCCTTTGAACAAGTTGTGATAGCTTACAGTGTCAAAAGAAAATTCAGAGAGCTTACCTGATATGAATATTTTATTGAGCGAGAAACAAACTAATCGAAAACAGGGAGACTTCAAAATCAAAAGCAATAAGAAGCTCAGCTTTCCACAGTTCCACAGCTCAATTTATAAAGCTTGAAGGAGGAAGTACATTGCTTTCTATTGTGATTGGTTACTAGAAACTTACATTAGAGCAGTAGCCTTGAGTAAGCTTCCTTCCTTGTAGCTGATTGGCTGGGAAGCTGCAAGGTGACTCGGACATGAAGAAAGCTTAAGTTTTGTTTAAGGTCAGAGTCAGCATTTTGGGGAAATCAGGAAGTTGAAGTTTTGGTTATGTGGCTCTGGGTGATTGGCTTCACGGTATCGGAAAACTGTGGCCTCCGTTTTGGTTTTTCCTTAACGCCAGTTTCCTCATTAGTGAGTTTTTAAAAATCTTTAACACGTGTTCATTTTATATCCATGTGGGAGTAATGATTTTACCCTTTTGAGGAAAATTATCGTTTAATTAAATAAGTGGTCGATCAACTAAAGAATTAGTTAACCATACAAGAGGCTTATAATTGAGTTCTAAATTCGGGAGTCTGGTCTATCTACATGCATCATTAATAGAAAGATGATCTTATGGGCCAGCCCCGTGGCTTAGCGGTTAAGTGCGCGCGCTCTGCTGCTGGCGGCGTGGGTTCGGATCCCAGGTGCGTCCAGACGCACCACTTCTCTGGCCACCGCTTCTCTGGCCATGCTGAGGCCGCGTCCCACACACGGCCACTAGAAGGATGTGCAGCTATGACATACAACTATCTACTGGGGCTTTGGGGGAAAAAAATAAATAAATAAAATTATTAAAAAAAAAACCAGAAAGATGATCTTTAGTAAGTGGGATCTGGCTTAGTATGGCCAGAATTAGTTTTGTTGGGGTTTTTTCCCCCACATATACCTATTGATCAAGCTGATCAGATTGTGAATAGATAATTGAGGTGACGTTTGATCAGAGACTTGGCCTTCAATAGACACGGGCTCTTACATCTTTTAAAAGCAAAAGTTGTCTAGGATAGATTAGCTCTAGAATATATTTTCTATGCTTCAAAATATATTTTAAATATAGCTTGTGACAGATAGGAGCTATTCTTAGAAGCAAAAAAAAAATCCATATCTTTTTCCAACAATTTCATATTGAGAGACTGAATAACAGAGGACGATGACCACCCTGTGTGACCGTAGAACTCTGACCCGCAACCTTTGCAGCAACCAGTCCCAGAAGCCAAACCCCAACCTCTGCAGCAATTAACCCAAAACAGTCAGACTAGATCAACGACTGCCAGCTTCCTTAGTATTTGCCCCACTTGCAACTCAGGACTAATCAGAGAAAGCCACATCTGCTCCCCAACACAATTTCATATGACTCCCCGCTTCTAGTTAGCCCACCTCCTGCTTCCCCACGCCACCAGCCTCCAATCTCGGCATCCTTGGACACTTCCCACTCCTCTGGGAGTTTCTGCCAAATGTAAGTGATGGTAGTTCACTCCCTTGCTATAGCAAACTCTGAATACATACTGCTCTTCGTTTATTTCCACAACACAGTACACGTATTTCACTAGAAAATTATGAAACTTATTTGAAGAGTTTATTGTTGGCCCAGAGGAAACACTCAGAAAACCACAGATTCATTTATTCTTCCTGGAGATCAGAAAGTGGCTAGAAATTCCTTACCTATATTACTGATGTGAAATCATACAGAAAAGTTCTAGGACAGCAAACAAGAGAGTCAAATTCAAAGGCCAGTCATTTTTGTCTTAACAAATGTAGTATTACAAATGAAACTTTGAAAGTGAACTTGTTTTTAATTTTTAGTACGGAAAAAAAACGTAGCTTTTTCCCAGTTTTCCAATCTTAAGGCTGAAAGGGACTTGTTCCTGGCTAAAGTCTTTGTTGTTTACAGAAGTCAAAATTAAGGTCTAAGGAGATGAAGTGGTCTGAGCAGTGGGGACCCCAAGGATAGCCTGAGTGTCTTCTGCCATGACCCCCTTCTCTTAGCAGCCTCAAATAAGCATACACCCTAAGGAGAAACCATTTGCTAACACAGTTTCAAGACATGTCTCCCAACATTCCTTCTAGCCATATTGTAGCCTCTAAACTCTGAAGCTCAAATCTTGCTTACTCTTACTTCAATTTCTTTCCATAGCATCACTTTACCATCGTCTATTTCCAATTTTCTCATCAGCAAAAACTGTTTTTCAAATGAAATATTACCCAGAACTCAAGAAGGTGTAATGGCTCCTCTTCACAGGCACCTTGGTGCATCCCCTCTGGAGGGAGGCCTGCACTTGTCCTACATAAATGTTGGGAATGGAAATACCTGCACCTCCAAGTACCCCAGGGCAATGCTTCTCAAACTTGAATATGCATGCCAATCACCTAGGAATCTGGTTAAAGATCAGATGCCGGTTCAGGTCATGGTGGTGCCTGAGAGTCTACATTGCTAACAAGTTCCCAGGGAAGCCAGTGCTGTCGGTGGGTCTCACCAGAGAAGAGTTTTTAAATTACACGTGCACATCCCTCACTACACATTTAGATGTAGGCTTCAGAACGGAACTGGGGAGCTCTAATTTTAAAAGCTCCAAGTGCCAGTTCTGTTTACAAACACAGTTCTAGAACAATGTATTCCAAACTCCCCTGATGATAAGAACCACTAATACACTTGATTCAATTCCAATTCCCAGGCCCTCGCTTGGAGATGCTGATTTAGTAGGTTTGGAGTAGAACTGAGGAATCTGTCTATTTTACAAAAGACACAAATGACTAGCAGCCCAAAAGTTTGGCAGACAATGACCCTCAAATACAATTTGAAAACCATTCTAATCTGCTTTCCAGCTCTAAGATTTCTTCATTCTTTCAATCGTTTGACTTCAGTGTTAACTTCTGAATTATCTCCTCCAGGTCTTGATAAGTTGCTCTGTTTCTTTATCTTCACCTTAATCAGACATTCAGGTAATGATTCTGAAAGGACCCAGGCATTCCCCCAGAGAGCATTTTAGAAAGCTTAATTATTGCTTATGTGGAAAAAAATTAACCACAGAATCTTAGCATGAGACTTTATTTGATAATACTTGGCAGGAGAAATGTCAAGAGGAGCAGTCAACTTCGGGACAATGAGTAGAATGTTTTATGGTACTTTAGGAAGAGGGGTCTGTCAAAGCTTAGCTTGATTGAGGAATAGAGAGAGATTGTTCTTGAGGATTAACAGCCGTATCTTGAACAATCTAGATTTTACCTAGAGTGATGGAGAGGAGCAGATAGGAGCTAAAGCCCTGTGCAAGAGGAGTGGGGCAGAAGAGCTGTCGGGACAAAATCTGCTCGGTCCTCAGTGGAAAATTTCCAGTCTGTCAGGGTCTTGCAATCCCCCATCTTGGTCAACTGGGATATTAAGTCTCATATCTTGACTTGATGATACCTTGTTTTTTTAGTTTACTAGATCTACATTACTCCTGATGATTATCTCATACTCTGGTAAGAACAAGCATCAATGCTTCCCATGACTTTTGCCTTTGAGGCTGAATTCCAATCATTTGTCAAATGAGTGGTTGCACAGAGGGGAGTATAGTGAATGACTGTGAAGACAAGCGCTAGCATGAGATTTTATCAGAGGGCCTTGAACAATGCCTCTAAGTCCTTTTAACACCAGCTATGATGGACTGCACGTTTATATCCTCTCCAATTTCGTGTCTTGAAACCCTAGTCCCCAAGCCTTTGGGAGGTAATTATGTCATAATAGTGGAACCCTCATGATGGGATAAGTGCCCTTAAAGAAGAGAGAGGAGAGAGCTCATTTCTCTTTCTGCTCTCCACCATGTGAAGATATAGCAAGAAGGCCGCCATCTGTAAAGTGGGAAGAGAGCCCTCACCAAGAGCCCAGCCACGCTGGCACACTGATCTTGGACTTCCAGCCACTAGAATTGTGAGAAATAAATATTTGTTGTTTAATTCACCCAGTCTACGGTATTCTGTTAAAACAGCCTGAACCGGCCCACCTGGGATTAGGAGGGAAAACAATTTCCATCCCCACTGTGAGTCTGTAGGGAAATGAGATTTGATATTAATGGATTTGTGTAACACTTTCTTTGTTCATCCTCCTTTTTTATCCAAAGTAACAAAGATTATGGGAAGAAACTTTAAGAATTTCATTTTAGCAATAAAAGCTTTAAACCAACAGAGAAAGAAAAGATAGCCAAGAAAAGGAGGAGAAAGAGACAAAGAAGGGTGTGGCAGTCAATGACTCTGGGTGTGCCTGGATCCTGATTCCAATTTGGTAGAAATTATTTGTCTAGCCACCTGCTCATAGTCTGAGGCTCTTGAGAAAATGGTCTCTGTCGTGATGCCTTCTGTTTCTGATAAAGTTCCTCCCAAGATGTTCAAGAACAGTCTTACAATGGTATCAACTTCAAAAGCTAGGTCTCTGGGAAGAAGATCATGCAGGGGTTCCTCTGGTTTATCTTCAGGAAAAACTACTGGACCTGTTGATTATAAACTTGGATATCTGCGTTAACCCTCTATAACCTTTTGCCATATAGGACTGTAAAAGAACAGAGCCAAGGATGAGGGTAAGATCCATAGACTCATGGAGTATTCAGTGACCAGCTTATGTGGGGATTGTCTATGAATTCCTGTTGGAGTGACCCTAATGGCCATAAGAGCCAAGGGCATAGCCTTTGACTGCAGCTACTGAAGCTCCTCTGGTAGTTTCTCAAGTTACCGTTTATTCATTCAATTTTCTCTGAGGACTGTGGATGGTAAGGTTTATGGGTGACAGAGCCATCGAGATTTCCTTAATTACTATTTCAGTGAATTGGGTTCCTCTATCACTATGCAAATTAGATGGGTTTTTTCCAAGTGGGAAATATAAAAGCTAAAAAGATTATTTGCTACTGTCAAAGCAGTTGCTTTACAACAAGAGAAGGCTTTACCCAACTAGAAAACAGAGACAGAGAAGTAAGAACATATTTATAACCCTATGAGGAAGAAACTTAATTAAATCAATTTGTAGAGATTTAAAAGGACATAAAGATTTTGGCTGATACCAATGTTCTATCCTTATGGTTTTCCCAGGAGTGTGATTTGAACAGATGGATCATATTCCAGAGATATCTTCTGAAATCATACAGATTTCCCACAAAGGTTTGTTCAAGACTGTGGTATAATATAAAATATATATTTGGTCTTTATCCCTGGTGAAGGTTGTGCCTTCACCCTATCTGGCAAAATTGGGGTTAACAGTGAATGCAATTGTATCATCTAGTGGTAGAAATAGCTATATAGAAATAGAAATACTAGTTCTGTAACCCCACGCTATACATATGGATATGGGCTGAAGGAGAGGTACTTGCTAGACTAGTGTTGCTGCCTGCAATCTAGACCAGCGCAGTGGCCAAACTTAATGTCCCTTCCAAAGGTGGAAAAGCTTGGGTATAAATAGAAAGAAGGAGGAATAGTAGCTGAGGGTAAAGGAATGAATAAATGAGTTATGTAATAAGAGAAATCAAATAAAAGACCTCTTCTGCTTGTGCAACGTGACAGGATCTAATAGAAGCCTGCAAACCTGAGTGGCCTCACCTTGGGAGACATTTTCATACAATAAGGATGATGGACTGGACTAATTATGAATGACCGAATGGGACACTAGTAATGTGCCGGTATCTTTTAACTGTTAGAATCCTTAGACTAAGGGATAGCCTGTGGTATCTCGAAAAACATGCATTTGGTCTTTGTCCCCAGTTCCTGGCACAAAGTTTCTAAAACCCTTGGAATTTCCTGAGTGATAGGAGCATCTTTTGTTATACATAACAAGCCCTTTTCAATCATCCCTGAGTTTATGTTAGTAAGGTGACTCTTAGTAGGCCGCTAGATAGCTTCAGGATGGGAGCTGGTCACCAGAGGAACCAACCGTGTAATTAGAAGGTTGGAACTTTAAGCCCCATCTCCAGAATTTAGGGGAGAGAAGAGGGGCTGGAGATTGAGTTCAATCACCAATTGCCAATGATTTAATCAACCATGCCTACGTAATGGAAGCTTCATAAAAACCTTTCAATGATGGGGTTCAGAGAGCTTCCAGGTTTGTGAACACATTGAGATGCTGGAGAGTGGTGTGCCTGGAGAGGGCATGGAAGCTCTGTGCCCCCCTCCTAATACCCTCCTGATGTATCTCTTCCACTTGATTGTTCTTGAGTCGTATCCTTTACAATAAACTGGTAATAGTAAGTAAAGTGCTTTCCCGAGTTCTGTGAGTCATTCTAATGAAATATTGAACCTGAGGAGGGACCTGTGGGAACCTCTAAATTTGTAGCCAAGTTGGACAGAAGTGTGGGTAACCTGGGGGCCGGGTGAGGGTAGTCTTGTGGCACTGAGCCCTTGAAACTGTGGAGTCTGATGCTAACTCCGGGTAGTTAGTGTCAGAATAGAATTAAATTGTTGGACACCTTGTTGGTGCTCACAAAATTGGAGAATTGCAGAAAGATGAATTTAAAAGTTTTCGTTCTGTGGTGGGTCATAGCATGTAACGTATTTGAGAGGCTCCATTTCAGCAGATCAAGCAATCATCTTGGCGCCACCAAGGAGCATCTGAGTGGAGAGAATCATTTGATCTTTTCCAATGCATTTTCTCAGAATCGGATGCTTGAGACTGGAGTTAACTGAAGACCTAATGACAATACTCAGGAGTTAGTTTTGTCTTTGATCATTGGATCTGTTGGAGAGCCTGGCAGTTCATTAAAGCCGCTCATTTAGCACCATAATCTTTTAAAGCATTACCCTTTGCTTCTTTTTATTTATTTATTTTTGAGATATAGCTCACATTCTATAAAATTCAGCCTTTTAAATGTGTGATTCTGGGGCCGGCCAGGTGGCGCAAGCGGTTAAGTGCGTGCGCTCCGCTGCAGCAGCCCGGGGTTAGCCGGTTCGGATCCCGGGCGCGCACCAACGCACCACTTGTCAGGCCATGCTGTGGCGGCATCCCATATAAAGTGGAGGAAGATGGGCATGGATGCTAGCCC